TTGGATACTCAGGGTGTACCGGGTTGGCAGTTTTTTGGTTGCTGTTCCCAACTGGTATTAAGGAGCCCAAACTCTTGAGTAGCCTCTTGAGAGGCTGCTCTGATCAACAGTTGCATAATCTCAGGGTTCTTGCAGTGCCATGTTATGCATGGAAGGGTGTTCCTGCAAGCACCTCTGGTGGGCAACTCTGAGGTCATGCTATGTTGCAGTCTGTGCCAGTTCCCTTCTTGTACATGTTACATTAGATGACCAACTGCTACTACTACTCTGGGCCTCTCCTTACCAATATAACACATCATGACTATAAACAACTAAAAGTGTAAACCTAAACCAGCTCAACAAAAATCACCTAAACCCCTTAACCTTTCTTTCTCCAACATTCATGGTATTTGTACCAACTTCTACATTTTGAAATCGTTACACTTCAAAAAGTCTCTGGACATTCTAGCTCTCTGAGAAACTAACTCTTTAATCCCCTCCTCTGATTTCTTGATTCCTGGCTACCTTCCTCTGCTTAGAAAGGACTCATGCATGGCCTGGGATTTTATGTCCACAAACATCTCCTGCTGGTAAGAAACTTCCCTTCCCTTGAGTCTGCAGACTATTCATATGTGTGTCTGTCTCTCTCTACTTAACTCAATTATCTTTTCTTTCTCTGCCATTCCCCTTCTTTGCGAGACTGTCATGATAGTATTTCCGATAATATAGACAAGGTCATATCCCTACACCTATTTGCAAACATATTTGTGTTTGGTGGCTTAAACACTTTGTCACTGACTTTGATGGCATCCAAACCCTTAACTTCTCAGTCACTCATGCAAGTGGTTGACTTTCCCTAATGTTTCCCCAGTAACTCTGACGGAAACGCTTCTCTTCTCAATCTTTTGTTTTACAGCTATCCCTGACTCTTGTTGTACTTCGCAGCTCTTCCCACTTGGCACCTCTGATCATGCAGTAGTGTCTGTAAACATCTCCTTCCACTCCTCCACCAGCCAAGGATCTCCTACGAACAGAATATCTTTGTGTTATCAACGAGCAGATTTGGACTCATTCATGATTTCCTTTGTGATGTTCCACGGAATGAAGTTTTTAATCATCTTGTTCAAAAATACGTATCTGAGGTTTCCTCCTGGGTGAAAATCTGCATCAATGCTTTCATTCCAGCCTGGAAATATCAATTTAAACTACGTTCATCTCCTTGGTTCTCACTTGCTTGGCCGTTATAACCCATAGGAATCACTTCTTCCAGCTCATGTCTGATTGCAACAGATGTCTCTTTGTCTTTGCTTGTAACAAGTGCAAGCATGTCCTCAATGAAGCAAAGTTACTGCTTACTGACAGAATGAAACAACATATAGCATCTCGTAAGTTTGGTTCTAGAGATTATTGGTGGCTCTGCAAGAGCGTGCCGAGCAACAGCAAGTCCTCAATCCAACCTCATATATATATATTTATATACTCACAGATAGGTCGCACTTTTTTTACCAAAAATTACACAAAATATTAGGAGTGTGACCTATCCACTCAACATAAATGTAAAACAACACTACCAGACCTTGTCATCATAATTTCTGAGAAATCGGAAATGATACCCATAAGCACTAAAACTGTGGTTTTTCTCCATATAGAAACAATTTATCTTTTTAAATTTACCTCATGCTACTGTATTCACATATCCATCGCAATAAATAAATAAAATTATAAAATATTCATTAATCCATCAGTCACCATTCAGTTGGGGGCCCTCACACTAGAATGATATAGAAACCCTGAACATGCATAACATAAGTTAAGGAACCATATCTAGATGTTTATTGACAAAGAAAAAATTAGTCCCATGATTCATTCTGTAAAATATACATGTTTTGTCAAAAATATGTTAGAAAATATGACTTAAAGGAAATTAAATATATTCTTTATGAGATAATTTTCTTTAATGGTTGTTTCATATAACATTAAAAGGCATTCTTAAGTGGTATTTACAAATAACAATGTGCATGAATCTAGTACCCAAAACGTTTGCACTATTTTGCATTGTGCAGCAATATAGGAGGTAGCCAAATTTGTAGTTAAAAGTATTAATTATTTATTACTAGTATTATTATTAGTATTAATCTAAGCATTAATTATGCAGAAGAACATGGAAATTGATCTGAAAAAGTGTATTAATAATTGTAAGTTTTGAAATAAAGGTAGATATCTGATAATTCTTATGATTAAAAAGGGCTCTGTAACTCCCCAGATTATAATGCAACCTATCTGCGAGTCAACGGTAAATCATCAATTATTAAGCCATAAAGTGGGGGATGACCTATCTGTGAGTATATATGGTAATAGATTTTATATTTCAAATATTCAGAATCTACTTTTATGTTTTGGTCCTGTGAGGATGATTTCAAATTTAACAAAAAAAATTGGGTTTGAATATTCATCTAAAGCTCTGGGATTTAATATTTTTAATATTCCAAATATTATTCAGACTGATGATTTCATTTTTGTTGTTTTATCACATTATTTCATACAATGTGTCCTTTAGCCTTTGTCAGGGGTATGATGCAACTGGTGTTTTTTTTAAGGGTTCCTCAGCAATTTTCATCTTTCAAACAGAAACAGCACAAACCGTGAAATTATTCTGTCAACCACTTGTGTGTAGGGTTCATTTTTCTAAAATGTTATTAAATGTACAAGTGACCTATTCTTTTCCTATATGCCATGCAACTTCAGGATGTTGGCAATCATGGCTCTCCACAATTTCCTGTCTTTGTAGCTCTTAATAAATTTTATCTTTTAAGATAGATTTTCATTTTGTCTTTTTATATATATATATATATATATATATATATATATATATATCCAAGTGTATACGGAATGAATTCCAATAACCAACAATTACTATTCTTAAAAGAGTGCTCAATACAAAGTAGAGCAGATATAATTATTTATTTAAAAAAAAATTATAACATAAACATATTATAAAATCACTACAAAAATAGCCATTTTGTTTCAACACCTCCGGTGTCTTATCAAGTGATGATTTGGTAAGACACCGGAGGTATTGAAACAAAATGGCTATTTTTGTAGTCATTTTATAACATATTTATGTTAGAAATTTTTCTAAATAAATAAATATATATATATATATATATATATATATATATATATATATATATATATATATATATATATTTTATGAAATGTACTAAATCCAACATATTTGTTTTGCTTAAATGTTATTTTAGATGGATACTCATATTCAAGTAAATGCTCCGTTTATTTAATTAAACAATGATTTTTTTTTTTTTTATTTAATTACATTTACTGGCCTGAATATTCGAGATATCTTATCAGAAAATACCTGTCCTTCAGCAGGATTTGAGCCTGCTTCATCTATGGGGACTGTCATTAGATCTGATGTGCTTAACCGATTCAAAACAGAACAGATGTGGATGTTTAAAGAATTGGCAGAGAATGTTATTTCAAAAGCACTATTTCGGGCTTTGTTTAACTGCAAGTCCTACATGGCTGAACTGGTTAAGCACATCAGATCTAATGACCGTCCTCGTAGGGGAAGCAGATTTGAATACTGCTGGATGATGCATATTTTCTGACCTGATTTCTTGACTATTCAGGTCGGTAAATGTAATTAAATTTAAAAAAATACTGTTTAATTAAATAAACAGAACATTTAATCAAATATGAGTATCCATCTAAAATCAGGTTTAAGCAAAACAAATTAAAGTGTGTGTATGTATATATATATATATATATATATATATATATATGATTGCACAACTTGGAGTTTCATGCTTTCTGCAATTGTCAGGTTCGGATTTTTTTGGTCAACACTGCTTGTTTAATATTTCTGGTTATCACGAGATATTTTATTGTTAGGGTGGATTATAATAAGCAACATTAATAATCCACCCTGACAATAAAATAACTTGCAATAACCAGAAATATTAAACAAGTGGTGTTAACCCAAAACGTCCACACCTGACAATTGCAGAAAGCATGAAACTCTGAGTTGTGCAATCACTTTACAGTATTATGTATACTTTTTAATATATTAAATAGCTCTGTTATTTAACATTGAGCACTGTTTTTTTACATTTTTTATATATATATATATATATATATATATATATATATATATATATATATATAACACCATAGTAACAGAAATTCCCATGTTTGAAAACTGAAACTTCAATTCAAATTTAATCATAAAAATTTAACTTAAAATACAAAGTTCCATTCCATTCTTAGCATCACTGTGTTGTGATGGTAATATATTTAAAAAAAAAACAATTATAATATTATGGTCTATGGTTGTATCAAGCACTGTTTTTAAAAAATAAAATAAGTGCTAAGAACTCTGAATTATAAATCTCTTTTGTTTTTTACTATTATTTTAATATATATATATATATATATATATATATATATAAATAAAAAGAAAGAACAGTAAGATATAAAATCCGGTGTTCTTATAGATATTTTTATTTTTACAAAATAGTGCTCAATGTAAATTTACAGAGCATTAATATTATAAATTAATTGATTTAAAATATTTTTTTTCGCTACACAGTTTCAACCATGTTTCAAAAAAGCTAAAACCCTAATTTAATTTTGCAATTTAAATAAAAGCATTAGTTCCATTTCATCTTCAAGCCAATGAAATGGAACTAATGCTTTTTAATTTAATTGCAAAAATTAAATTAGGGTTTTAGCTTCTATTTTTGAAACATGGTTGGAACTGTGTAGCGAAAAAAAACATATTTAAAAAAATTTATAATTATATATATATATATATTATATATATATATATATATATATATATATATATAAACACATGTATACAAACACTTGCTTGTACATTTACCTATATTCATCCATTTGATACATATGTTTATTATCAAATTTGCTTTTTAAGGAAAGCATCTTTTTTTTTAATATATATGTTTAAATGAAAATGAATAAGACTTTCTTTTTTTCTTCAGGGTGAGATGAATATGAATGATGTTCCTTTGGAAGGAGACATTACACTTCCTAAATTATTTGAGGAAGACCAAGAAGATGAGCTGTCTACCTTAGACGAGCCTGTCAAAGACACAATTGTAAGATATTCTTATGTTTATTTCTCTTGTAAGAATGAAGGAAATTTCCCTAAAGTTGCTTGTATTCATTTGAAAGTTAGTCATAGGTGAATATTTCAATGTTAATTTCCATCTTCAATATCACCTGCAATGGAGATTTATGATTTCTATTTAAACACAGCTCCAAACAAGTTCACAGTTGCATAAGGGCTGCTGGTAGAAAAAAATGTCATCAAGCGTCCAAGTCTGAATTTCACTGGCAAATGTGTGTGTTTATTTTTCACTAATGCATTTGGGAAAGGAAAGAATTCACTTTTTGATGGGCTCTCTTCTCCCAGCAGGCATTTTTGAAAATTTTTCATCATTGGCATCAAAAGCAAAGATTAAAAGAGGTGGAGGTGAGATAGTACTTGGATTAACCTCTCTCCCATAACTAAATCCATAATTAAATTTATCGTTGTGTAATTCAAACAAATTGAGATCACCGAAATATTGACATTTTGTACATATTGTTTTTTTCACCTGGTGCCTCAACAACATAAATTTAAATGTGCTACTAGACTGTAAGGCCTTTAACAAAGTTCAGGCAATAATCATGAACTGTCAGGACCTGTGTAAGTTAAATGTATTTACTAATAAATTTTTTAAGGCTGCACTCTGTACTTTTCAAATGATGACCATTCCCAGATAATTATAAAAGTGACATAATCTCTCTTCAATCAGTTAAATGCCATATGTTATACATGCATGGCCGATCATAACTCTTTTGATTTATGGCTGACTAGGCAGAAGATTTTCCTGTAGTAAGCTGCCATTTCTTTCTGCAGTAGACTAGTTGCAAACCATGACTGTAGGACCAAATCTATCCTGCATAGCTGCTGGGGTGAAGGGTACTTCAATGTGGTATAATGGTTAGTTAGCTTTTCCCACTAGATCAGTTATAACTAAGTAGTGATTTTGATCATCACTGAGTTCCCCATATTTTTGGGCTTGTTTCACATCTAAGCTATGCTTAAAAATCACCATAGTTGTGTGGAGAAGAGATGGTTTCATACCCTTTTCGAAGGGTATATGTACATAAGGAAATGTAACAAACCCAACTGGAATTCAAACTCTGCTCTCTTGTTTCTCATTCCAAGCTGTTATCCATTACTCCACACTGCTCATCGTCATCTCTTAAAAATACTGAAATGTCCTCAACAGATTGTTAGGTCAGGAAACCTGATTTAATCCCTCACTACAAATAATTGCTTTGTCTAAAGATGACCTCCCTCCCTCCCTCCCTCCAATCCCTCTCTTTCTGTTTGCCTCCAAGTGGGGCAATTTGTAAGAAGTGGTATTTTCATTATTAATTCTTTATAATACTTTCCTTTATTTCTATTTTTGCTTTTTTTACAAAGAATAATATCTAGATATCTGTTGTCTTGTGTATGTGATGTTCCAAGAATTAGGACTCAAGACAAACCTTTCCAAAAAAAAAAAAAAAAATATCAAACTATGATCTAGAATTGGAATGAAAGCAATGATGGCACTTACCCTGAATCCAGTAAAAAAAATTCAATATGTGGAATTAGTAAATACTAAATACTTCGGTGTATGGATCACTTAATATAGGATATAATGAAAATGAATAGAGAATAGACAGTGCTAGAAATAATTTTGTCCAATACTACAAATTGTTACACAACCAGAAAGTCAGCCTAGGAAATAGTCATATTCTTAAATAGCTTCATCAGATTGAGACTTTCATATTGGCACGGTGCCAAACTCATTTAGAAATACCATCCTGGGTTTAACGATAAACTACATCTGGCAGCAAGGCCTCAGATCAGGAGGTTTTGAGGAGAGTGGAATCTGCTTTTAATTGCTGTTGCTCCAAGGTCAACCTTCTCTTAGGGTCCCAGCTATGGATGAATAGTTAACCTCCAAAATGGGGTCAAAACACAATGAAATGAAAAGTTTTATAGTAAAAATACCAGCATTACATTTTCATAGTAATAAGAACTTACCAGCAATACATTTTTATAAAAAATTACCAGTAATAAATTTTTTTAAAAGAAATTACTAATGTCCCTAGGAAAATTAACTTTCAGCATTAAATGTCTCATAAAGAGTTGGTATGCCACTAAACAAGTGGTTCTCAACCTTTTTTTTACCTATGGACCCCTTAATAGATATCTATCTACTATCTATATTTCTCATGTTGTCTGTGTGTCTGTCGTGGGCGTTGTTACCTCGCCCAGGCTGCATTTCTCACCTGATTTCAATGCGGTTTTCAACACAAGTTTGCAAATGGCTGCCGTAAAGACATGACGGAGCTCGATTTTTGAGTTCGGAATCAGGTTCTGAAAAAATTGATAATCGAAAAAATCGATAATCGAAAAAATTCTGCTTACAGAAGGAATGATCGCATTTCAACCAAATTTGACACCTTAGAGTCTACCATTAGAAGTGTTGTCCAGAAGTTTCATGACCACGGACCCCTAAACAGCGCAGAAAATCGATAAAACCCAAGAACTGATACGCCCAAATTGCGTCTGAACTGCATGTCAGTTTTTAGCGAAAACCGAGCGGATTTATGAAGAGGCCATTGGGAGTCATCATGTGAAGTTTCAACTCTGAGCACCCCCCAAACAGAGTGCAAATCGACAATCTGTCAACCCGTAAAAATGTTTTTTCCGGTTTTTTAAAGCTGATCGTATTGTGTTTATTTTGTTTAGTTCTTTTTTCGTAACAGATTTAATGTTTACTATAGAGCTTAGAAAAAGTTGGCAGTGTGACATAAGCAGTGTGACATGTTGCTACATAAGCATGTAGCAACATCAGCACGGCAAAAGGCACTCCTCTAAAGGCAAGGAAGGGCAAAAATATTTTAACTCGAGTGATGGCAATTGCTGTATTAGTCGTACTATTTTTGAATCAAGCACGGGCAACGCCGGGCCATGCTGCTAGTTTGACATAAGACAACAATATTCTATTTTTCACTAATAACAATTTTGAAGTATTATAATAATCAAAGAAATATTATATAATTAAGCTTTATTTTTAAATTAAAACTAATGCAAATAAATTATTCTACAATTATAATAGTAATAATTATAACAGAGATCAAATGAAAAGATAATTATAATAAAAGTCAAAGAAAGACAGGGCCCCTCATTAAGAAATTCTTGTATATTGTTTTTTTTATGCTATATAAGTGAGTAATATTTCTTTTAATTCAGATTAATTTAACTTTAATTTTTCTAATTTTACATGTCATAAATATATAATTTAATTTTGGAAGATTTTAAAAATCGATAAATTTGTTTTATTTACAAATTTCTTAAAATTAAGAAAATGGCTGCTTTTAAGAAAATTTAAAAAAATCAAGCAATTATTTGACATTCCAATGTATATAATTTCGATCTGAAATGCACCAGAATATTTTGCTTATTGGAAATAATAAATTTAATCATTAGCTTTTAATTAAAGCTAAAATGAAATCTTCAAGAATGATTTTTCATTTTTAAAAATTAATTTTAAGCATTAGTTATCGAAAATTCAGTGGCGGTACCTATATAAAAGAAATAAAGAGTCTTGTAAATATATATATATATATATATATATATATATATATATATATGGTGTATAGAAATTACAGTAGAAATTTAATTTTTAATAATAAAAAACATTTTGAGTTGGCTTTCTTCATGGACTACCAAAATATCATTGTGGACCTCCCAATTCGTTATATTTTGGCTGTCGACCCACAGAAATATTACGTCGACCTCTAAGGCCCATGTGGACCCAGATTGAGAACCTGTGCATTAAACAAATGCTCTAATACTCATTCAGAAATATCAAAACAGGTATATACAACTGCTTTCTTAGATCGGTTATTAAAAATTGCTTTGAGCTAGCCTGTAGATGTTAGTGAGGACCATCCTTTTTTGAGCCTTGAGGATTGGTGCTACAGAATCACAAAGGACTATGCAAAATAACAGACACTATATCATTTGAGGACTTTCAACAGCAGCTAAAATGGATATCACATGTAACTCGAAAAGAAAATAATGATATAATCAAGATGTTGATATTCCAAACTACTTCAGACAAAAGGTTAGAAAAGAAACCTACATCGATATGGAAATGCAGTAGCAGCAGACATGAGAATCCTATTTTCCTGAAAAATTGTTTTAAGAGAAAGATTTTATAAATTCAATATGAAAGTAACAATGACTGCTCGGTCAATGCATGCTAAACTGTTTCCTTATAAAGAAACAGCTTGTATTACCAGTAACATTATTGTTCTGCATATCCTTTTTAAGTTTTACTTTTGTTAATAAGCCTGTTGATTTGTATTTTTGTCTTTACTGCGATTAATGACACTAAAAGTATTAAGCAGAAAATGAGAATAGGAAAGTAGATATTGGAATTCTTTGAATTAATGACGTTCATCCTGTTTTTGTCTGTCTGTTCTGGATGTCATTTGAACCACAAATTTTCTTGAATGTAAAGTTCTTGAAAGCTTAAATTGAAAATTTGTCAGTTTTGATATTTTTAACTTACAGCTAAATACCTCCTTTATTCTTTATCAACAAGGATTGATTATTATGATGTTCTTTTTTTTTTCCCCCTCCTCTAGTTACGAGACCTCAAGGCTGTGGGTGTCAAATTCTTTCATGTACTCTATCCAAAGCAGAGTAAAATGCTACTGCGTGAATGTAAGTATTCATTGCTGCTTTAAACTCTTCTTGGAATGACCAGTTATGTGGGAATAAAGCAAAACCTCTTTTTATTCTTAGTCCAAATCATCTCGTCCAACATATATGGTTCCTGAACCATGTTCAATCAGCTGTTTGGTCGGCTTATCAGATTTCAGTAATTATTGGATTAGATCATATAATAAAAACTCGATAAAACACTGCAGACTCCTCTATTATCCACTACGTATTTTAGGGACGCCCGAATTAATAAAACCCAAACAGATTAAAAGGAGGTTAGATTGCAGGACTTGTATATGTAGAATTGGTTAATAGAAATATAAACAAATAGTAACTGCCTTCCTGGGTATGACAATAAACTACATCTATGTCCTGGGTAAGATGATAAACTATGTTCGGCAGCAAGGCCTCTGATCAGGAGGTTTTGAGAAGCGTGGAACCACCCCTTAATTGCTGGTGTTCCCAGGTCTGCTCTGACCCAGGGTGGCAGCACCTGTCAGAATCCCAGCTATGGCTAAATAGTTAACCCCTAAACTGTGGTCAAAACACTATGAAAGTATAAAAATAGGTTTTAGTACCAGCAATACATTTTTGAAGCTAAAAATATATTACCAGCAATACATTTTTGGAAAAATTATTACCAGCAATAAAAAATCTTGTCAGCATCAAATAACTCATTGAGGTTGATATGCTGTAAAACAAACCAAGCCAAACAGTAACTGTAAATAAAATGCTTTGATCAAATGATGTTTGCTTTAAAACAAGGCTGTCCTGGGTATGACGATAAACTACATCTACATCCTGGGTAAGATGATAAACTACGTCCAGCAGCAAGGCCTCTGATCAGGAGGTTTTGAGTAGCGTGGAACCACCTCTTATTTGCTACTGTTCCCAGGCCCACCCTGACTCGGGGTGGTAGCACCTGTTAGGGTTCCAGCTATGGGTAAATAGTTAACCCCTAAATTGGGGTCAAGACACTATGAAAATGTAAAAATAAGTTTTAATACCAGCAATACTTTGTAAAAAAAAAATATTATGAGCAATAAATTTTTGAAGAAAAATTATTACCAACAATACATTACTACCAGAAATACATTTTTAAAAAAAAAAAAAAAAAAAAAAAATTACCAGCTGGCTGGCCTTAAATAACCCATTGAGATTGATATGCCATAAACCCAAACCAAATAGTAACTAAATAAAATGCTTTGATCAAATGACATTTGATTTAAAATAGTCAGAGTCTTGGACTTGTTGCTCTGTTTTCAGGTATGACATTTGCAACATTTAAGTTAAAACCCTTGGATCATCATTTCTGCTATTGTAAATCGTTACAAGTAAAAGCATCCAGAGAAAACTGGCACACAATCCCATCAAAAAATGAAGGTCACATTTAAGTAATTTCGCAACTGTGTTGGTTATATTTTCCACATGATTAATCTAGGAGTTTTATCTATAATATTAATTCTATTGTCATATGAGAAAAAGTTCTGGTTTTTAAATAATTAAAACTAAAACATATGTAAAGAAAGCTAAAATGAACAAAAGAAAGTTGTATTGTTTTTTTTTTTTTGTTTTTTTTTACAGTCAGTTGCCCATCTATATAAACAAAACACAGTGTACATATGTCTGTCCATCTTTTTTTTTCAATCTTGGTGAATCATAAATAACCTGAAGTAAAAGGTAGTAACTACTGTAGTTACATGCGATTAAAAATTAAATAACTGATTTAAATTAAATTTATATAATGAACAAAGTGACAGGTTTAAAAATAACCCTTTATTAAAGGTTTAACTTTAATTTCGCTTTTGATGCAATTGATATCGTCTAATTAAACTGTAGTCAAAACTTACGTGGGGCATGGTACGTTGCTCATAGGTTTTTTCTTTTTCTTGCATGCGTACTATCACGTATTCGATGTATTACATAGTTCGGATTCCCTAATGTCTTTTAAGAGTGGTTTTATATGAAGGGCAGCTTCTAGGCTAGTTATTAATAAAAAAAAGTTTTCATGTAACACAAATTTTTGTGGCTCCGAAATTGTGGAAAAATTCTATGCTATTCAATGCATGCGTTGTGTACTTGGACCCTTTGCCTCTGAGCATACAATATACATAATGGATTCTCCTCTCTATTTTGACATATGAGGATCTAACAACCTCATGAAGTTTAAGTTTGTCTTATATGTGACACTTCAGTCTTGCTAATCCCCTGCTTAAAGTCCACATATTGGACAACAGCAAGGATCTTGTAACATAACAGCTGGAATATTTTCTGACACTTTTTGGCATTGTCTTTCACATTGACAATTGAAAGGTTACTTTTTAGCTTGTCTTTGTACCTGATCCATGTCCATCCAACAGTCTTTTGTCTACTGTCAAGTTGGCTCTGCACAAGGACTTTATATATATATATATATATATATATATATATATAATATATAAATGTGCACACAAAATTATACTTGAAGTTGAGCTGTTTGAAAAGAACATATTTCATTTCTCATAGGTTTTACTATTGATATCAGTACATAGATATTACTTATTAAATTTTATTAAGTCAGGCATTTTTCTCTTGAAGTAAAAGCCTAACATGGGGGACCCCCTCTGTACATGGTTTTTCTAACTTCAAATCCCCTGCCTCACAAAATATGCTCAGTTCATAACAAGAAAAATTTTCCGCTACTATTGCGTCCCGAGTTGCTCCCCTTTACACAAATTATTTTGATGCAACTTTTTATTCCCTTCATCCAAAGAACTTTTTTTGTCATTTCTTTTGCCACAAAAAGGTAATGAATTTTCATCAGTCTTAAATAATTGAGATTAACTTTTTTTTTTAGGTATTTATTTTTAAAAAAATTGCTAACTGAAAAAAAAAAATTCTTAAATATATAAATAGATAATAATAAAATTTCTCATAGAATTCAAATAAAATTTAAAACAGGCGAAATTTTTTATTTTTAAGTAAGTTCATTCAAGCAAGGTAGTTAAGCCACTGAGACACATTGGGTTATTGGGTGTAGAAGACTTATTTTAAATTCATTTATTTTAATTTGTTATTGAGTTTTGGTCTTGGTGAAAGAAGGCTGGCATCATGTGACTTCATGCTAGATCAGCCGTCAATGTTTTTGAACCGGTTTTGTCTACCTAATTTTACTCACAAGGTTTAGATTAACATGTGGTATGGTTTTCAGGTACTTTCCAAAGATCCCACACTCTGGCATCACTTCTCTGGGCTGATATTATCAAGAAGTCATTTCTTTGAAAAATCAACTATAGTGAGATTCAAATCTGGGTCTTATGGCTAGAAAGCTAACCACTCGGCCAGGGACCCATGTGAGAATAGGGCAATTATATACAGTGTGAGGCAGAAATATCTCGACATTAGTGGCAATGGTTTCTTGTTCTAGTTAATGTTTTACCATTATGTGGGAGATATTTCTGCCACACACTGTGTGTAATATATATACATATATATATATATATATATAGCACTTGAAAATTGCTTTGGCATGAAACTTGGAGTTGTACAGTTAATGTAAGATATTATGTATCTTATTATATATATATTTGTATTTTATCATTCACTCATATACCTCATCCTGAGTAAGACGATAAATTACATCCAACAGCAAGGCCTCTGATCAGGAGGTTTTGAGGAGTATGGAACCACCTCTTCATTGCTGATGTTCCCAGGTCCACCCTGACCTGAGGTGGTAGCACTTGTTAGGGTCCCAGCTATGGTCAAATAGTTGACAACCAAACTGGGGTCAAAACACTATGAAAGTGTAAAAATAGGTTTTAATACATACCAGCAATACATTTTTATAAAAAAATATTACCAACTATATTTTATTTTGAAAGAAAATATTACCAGCAATAAAAATCTGGTCGGCATTAAATAACCCATTAAGGTTGATATGCCGTAAAACAGACCAAACCAATCACTCCTATACCTACCTATATTTACCCATTCAGTCATGTGTTTTGTGTTTTTGATAGACTATTAGATATAAAGGTCAATGATGTATCGTGTGTATTCTATAGCATTGTGGGTAATTATTGTATTATTCCAATGGTTATTTTTGTGGGCATGGTTTAATAATTTGTTTATTATTTACTTATTTATTTGTTTGGATTAATTTATTTTACTTGTTTTTGTTTATTTATTGTATTTATTTTCATTTATTCTTTTCAATTTTCGATTTTTAAGTAATGTAGTAAAAATTTGTTTCATTCTGAGTTCTGATAATTTACTTAGTAGTTTGTTTTGGTCTGAGAAGGTAATTAATTTTTTCTTCCAAGCAGAGTTTACAGTTTTTGGATTGAGTATTGTAAACTGATGTCCTTTTCCTCATTTTCCATAAAATTTTTGGTGTGATTTGTTTTTAATCTTTTGTGTATTTACTATTTGTAAAAGAGGTTTTGTGCATGTAGATTCTTTGTTTCCAGGGTCCTTCAGTATAAATTTCTACTTTTGTCTGCTGTGATACATTAGTTGAATTATTTATTTTAGTTATATTATATCTTCTCTTAGTGTTTTTTTTTTTTTTTGGTTGGGAGGAAGGCATCTTGTTTTTTATGGAATTTTGTGTTTCTTAGTCAAGTCTTTCTCGAAGTCATCTTGTTCTTTGTGTTCAGGGGACATTTTATTTGTTTTAAAGCTGTATTTTTCCTTGAGTGTAGTATTTATGTTAAGTTCTTGGTTTAAAAAGAAGTGTGCTTTTCATCTCAAAAACACAACACACATGGCCTGATGATTGCATTTAGCATGAAACAGATTGTTACCTCTGGATGTTGACTTCAATGCCTGTTTTTATATTTGCATATGCTCTATCCCTGATACTGAGAACTTTAACCCATAAATATAGCATATCTTATAAAAATATATATATATATATATATATATATATATATATATATATATATATATATATATATATAATGGTCAAAGTTGAATTAGACCAGAAAACAGTAGTATTAAAAAGTACTCAATATATATATGAAAAAAATAAAAATTTCGCACTCAGGAAATCAATTGACCAAAATTGGCTGAAGATACCAAACAGTTGAAACCAAGGTGGTGGAATCAGCTGATCTAATTTTTATATATATATATATATATATATATGCACACACATATAGAAACTGTGCTTTTATTATACAAATGCACTGAAAAGTATATAGAAATGTACTGTCATTTGTCAGGAATTAATGTGTGAATTATCAGTAGTGTAGGACTATTTTATATATAATCTTTTTGTTTTATAAAAATAAAAAGTCTGGTAGATGGTGTTATTTAAGGTCCTATTGAAAAATTGTGTTTCAGATAAATTTCAATTAGATTTGTTTTTTTTTTCTTCTCATTTGCACTGCTAAAATTGTCATTTCATTAAGTGAAAAACAACTCTGTAAATGCATTTGCAAATTTGACATGTTTAGTAATACATTTTTTTTCTTTGTTTTCCATTTTTAGGGGACTTGTGGGGACCCTTGATTCTCTGTGTATTCCTGGCTTTGTAAGTGAACCACTTTGTTTACTAAGTGTTTGCTAAAGTTGTTCAAAAGTTTCTAAACCTCACCCAGAAAAAAGAATCATAGCTGAACATTTTTGTTGTGGCAAAACACTACCACTTCTTATAAAACTAGAAAAACTAATTCAGATTTCTGACTTAATTTCTGTGCAGATGAGATCCATGCAAAGGTAAGAGGTGTGCACCAAATCTAAAAATGGATAAAACAGAGGCCTGCACAGTATCTTTTAAAGTATCTGCAAAAGAAAGGTCTGACACCCAAGGAAATCCATGAAAGCATGGTGCAGACACTTGCTGAGGATTCCCCTTCCTATTCAACTGTGAAGAAGTGGGCTGCAGAATTTAAGTGGGGCAGGGGGCAGGGGACAGGAGATGACCCTTAGTCAGGGTGTCCAAAAACATCAACCTCTGATGCCATTCACTGTATGGTTTTGGATGACAGACATTTTACTATCCAGCAGATAAGCTAAATCCATAGTCATTAGTTCTGGTTCACTCCATACTGTTTTAACTGAGATCCTGGGGATGAGTGATCTGTCTGCAAGATGGGTCTCAAGAATGCTGACACCAGGGTAGAAGCTGAAAAGGGTTGACATTTCCAGGACACTCGCTTTCAGGCTGACCCTGAGAATTTCCACCACAGATTAGTAACTCCATATGAAACCTGGGTTCACCACTTCAAACCCGAATTAAAGATTCAAAGCAAACAGTGGAAACGTTCTAGTTCTCCGCCTCCAAAGAAGTTCAAGCAGGCAGCATCCGTTGACAAGGTGATGTCTTTTGTTTTTTTGGAGTCTGAGGGTGTATCTGGAAAAAAAAAAAAAAGCTATTAATGGAGAGTACTGTGCATCACAATTAAGACAACTGAAGGAAGCAATCAAGTCAAAATGAAGAGGGAAGCAGGTGTGATCTTGCTCCAGGAGAACACACCTGTTCACACTGCTTGGGCTGCAAGTAGCTGAAACAGCCAACTGTGGCTTTGAATTGCTACCCCATCCTCCTTACCCACCAGGCTTAGCTCCATCTGACTTCTTTCCTAAACTTAAATCCCACCTGTGTGATCAGCATTTTGGAAACAATGATGAAATCATATGTGCTGTGGAGTTTTTGGAGGACCAGGATGTCACCTTCTTCTGTAATGGGATTGTAATGCATCATTGGACCAAATGAATTGATGTCAAGGGGAGATAATATTGAAAAATATTTCTCCAACACCTTTTGAGTGAGGCTTTTTGAACAACCCACATATTTGAATTTCTTATTATTTAAATATTTCTTGATTCTTAACTCGTATTTCTGTTTGTTTTAATTTTTGGTCACTTTTTCATGATTGTTAACTCTTTCTACACCGAATCTGTTTTAAAATTTTGTAAGTTTTGAGAACTCAAATTTAAAGTCATTTTGAGAGCTAGCTACATAATTTAACCCCTCCATATTATAATATATATATATATATATATATATATATATATATATATAGAGGGTGTGATTGATAAATCATTGTAGGAATTATGCAAAAATGAAAATAACAGCGACATCTCATTTTATTTGCTAAAATTACACAAAAATATCTTGAAATAGTTAAGAGTAAATTTAAAATACAATAAAATCATCATTTGCTTCAACCACGGCCTCCAGTAACTCTTCTGGATGGTCTCCTTGTATGAATGCTGCCATAATCCTTGCTTTCAGTTTGTTTTTGGAGTTACAAAGAGATTTTTTGGTCTCACACTCAACTGTACCCCACTTCTGGTGAGTTAGATGGCCAGATGTAAGGAGTAATGTGGTAGCATAAATTGTCTGACAGACACGACTAGGTTATCTTGCTTGTGTGGTATGGTGCAGAGTCCTGTTGCCTGACATAGGATCTTCCAGCAGCCACCCTCTTGACTAAGGCAAGCACTACCTCCTCAGAGCTGAGCCACAAGCTTAAACATGCTTTACTAGCAGCGGCGGGAGCCTTTCTGCTTTTGACTAGTATGTGATTGCGAAACAAACAAAATCAAACAAGTGATTAATGTAAACAACACATGGCACCAGTATGTGAGGAACACATGGTGAATGTGTTATTGTCTGAGAATGACTTTATTTTTCTTAGAAATTTCTTTCCAATATTAGGGTTCATCTTCCAAGTTGGAAAATACAGTACTGAATTCTTCTTATACTTGGAATATTTGTCTCTCATTTATTTGTATGAAAATGTTGATCTGAGGAATCAAAAATGAATTTCGATTCTAAGGAAATAAATTATATTCACGATGAACCTTTAAAGTTGTCTGTTTCTTAATATAATTAACACACACACACACACACACACACACACACACACACACACATGTGTGTATATATATATATATATATATATATATATATATATATATGTTTAGAGCACCTCGGCGTGGTGTAATGGTTAGCAGGTTTGTCTCGCTAAATTATTTACGATTGAATAGTGAGTTCGATTCTCACTGGGTGCCCCATACTTTCGGCCTTGTGCCACATCTAAGCTACGCTTAGAAAATCAATATATATATATATATATATATATATATGTTTATACATTCTTTTTATAGATACAAATATTTAAGTAAATGCTCTGTTTATAATAAACAGTATTAAACAACATTTACCGGCCTGAATGTCTGAAAAATTTTCACAGAAAATATTCGTCCTCTGACAGAATTCGAACCTGTATCCTATATGGAACTGTCATTTAGCTTGACATGCCTTTACCGATTTGGCCACAGATGTGCATTCGGTTAGCAAGGTTGAATTTACTGTATTTAAACTTCAATCTTCCATGAATCTCTCAAGTACATTCATATCTGCTCATGGCGTATCAAATGTAAACAAATGACGTCACACATTATGAAATGGCCAAAGCCCGACAATTATTTTTAAGACATCTTTATGTTTATACATTCTTTATATAGATACAAATATTTAAGTAAATGCTCTGTTTATAATAAACATGAATTGCACTTCTTGGCTTTTCTTATTTAACCTCATCAACTGCACTTGCCTTTTCTTATGCTCATACAACATACACAGTAACCCTCTGCCTTTTGTGGCTCTTGGGTCTTGTACTGGATAAAAATCAATATTAAAAAAAAAGTTCATGTATTTAAGAAATGACATAATTTCAGCCCTTTTTTGAAAAGAGAAAACTTCTCATTTCGATATAGAAAGTGCAATTTTTGTTAGTCATATTCACTAGCAAGTATATTAACTAATACAATTCTAAAAGAAAAATTATAGATTGGAAATAATTTCATGAGGTTTACATGCCAGAAAGAATTATTTGCTAGAAAGCGAAAAGAGAAATTATTAAACAGAAGCCGAAGAAAAATTTTCTTTACTTTAAAATCAGCTACAGGAATTTTTCTTTAAATTTTCCCATTTAAGGCTTCATGAGTTACTTCCCTTGATATATGAAAATTATTCATATTTTCTCAAACTTGAATTTTCGTGTACACAAAAAAAACTGAGTGTCAAAATTAAAGGACTCCCCCACATACACACTTGAAACCGCAATTATTTTAACTACCTTCACTCCTCGGCAGTGTTTGTTGTTTTAAAAAGATTAGAATTGTAATAAGTGAATTTGGAGTTTTTGACTGTCGGTTTTTCTGGTTCGACGGTCCAAGTTTGCCCATATTTTTTTGTGATTTCTGTTTGCTTTTACTTGACTAATTTTAATCTGATGTAATTATTTCAGCTTTCATTAAAATCTTTCCTTTATTATTAAATTCCTCCTTTCTTTCGTATTTTCAATGCTTATCATAAGTTAGGATATTCATAATCGTGTTCTCTTGGATTACAAATATTTGAACATATATAACAAAAAAACTTAACATGCAAACAAAAAGAACTGCATTAACGGATTGATCAATGCTTAATCTTTTAAACAAGTTACTAGATGGTTTACGGCCTTATGACATTCAGGCAACAGTTCTTGTACAATCACTGATGTTAAGCCGTGTCAAGCCTGGGCAATATGTAGATGGTTTGGCCACTTGGGAATACAAAGTGCTGTAATCTTGGATGTGCGGGTGGTGTGATAGATAACTGTTCAGAATTTAAAATTGAAGAACTGAGTTCCAGTTCCATTATGTTCACTTACAAGCAACCTTGTGAAAGGTATGAATCCACCTATTCTCACCTAGCTATGTGTTAATTAGTAGGAGTTATATCAGTTAAACATTATCTCTAAAATATTCATAGTCTTTCAATATTTTTTGGCTTTAAATAAGCTGCAAAAGGTTGATAAACTGTAACAAATCAAAAACAAATCAATCGAAAAAAGAAATGCAATACCTGTAATGTCAGATGCATGTGTTAAGTCTCCCATATTCTGCATTCAGTTGCCAGGAGTAACGTTAGGTCAACTCTGCTCTTAGCTTCCTTTGATGATCTGGTCGGAAACTTGAATGCAGTATCTATTCTGGTAGAATGTCACATTTCTATTTCATTGGCCTAATTAGTAGGACTTGTATCAGTAATTCATTTTTTATCTTTAAATATTTTCTGGCTGCAAAAGGTTGATAAACCATTAAAAAAAACAAATCAATCAAGAGTTACTGGCTTTTAAATACTTACATGTATTAGGTATTATTTAAATGCAGACTGTTGTCCTCCTTTTTATTCTTGTTATCACAACATTTTGGCCATTGTGTCCTCTGGCCTTCAGATGTATATCGATCTGCTTAACCTACAGGTAATTTTGAACTGAATCGTTTATTTAATCTATGAAGGCAGATTGTCATCATTCCACTGTCCATGTTTAGGGATATCTGCTTGGGATGAAATGACAAAAAAAAAAAAAAATAGTTCTTATTTAGTACTGCTCAGTTACTGTTTGTTTTCATTCCACAACCTACACTGCCCAGTTCAGAGATTGAACTCACAATTTCAATGTCACCAAATTCACAAACCAACTCTTTAATCTACTAGGCTATTGTCCTGGAGTGCACAATGGCTGAAATATTGTGATAATAACAACAAAGATGAGGACAATAGTCCACATATAAATAATGATAATGCTTCGTACCTAAAAGTCTGACAAATTATGTATTAAATATATGTTGAATCCTTCTTTGTGGCCTCTTTCTTGCAAGCTCTACTGTAATAGATAACTTTTCTTTTTTTTTTTTTTTTTTTTTTTCACGATTTTTCTCACCAGAATAATAATAAAGAACACCCAGTGAAAATAAACGACTTCAAATACATAGAAAAAATTTCATAATAATACAGAAATAAAGATAATCTCCTGGTAGGAAAGATGGTTCCCTGTGTCTTGCTAGACTATATTGCTCACCAGAATCTATCTTACATATTTCTAAGTCTACCATTCAAACTGGCTTTGAATTCTTCTGCCATATCTTATTTCTAATATTTAGAGATTCTTGATAAAATCCAAAGAAGAATCTATCTTACATATTTCTAAGTCTACCATTCAAACTGGCTTTGAATTCTTCTGCCATATCTTATCTGGTGATCCTGCTATATATTTAGAGATTCTTGATAAAATCCAAAGAAGAATCTATCTTACATATTTCTAAGTCTACCATTCAAACTTGCTTTGAATTCTTCTGCCATATCTTATCTGGTGATCCTGCTATATATTTAGTGATTCTTGATAAAATCCAAAGAAGAATCTATCTTACATATTTATAAGTCTACCATTCAAATTTGCTTTGAATACTTCTGCCATATCTTATCTGGTGATCCTGCTATATATTTAGAGATTCTTGATAAAATCCAAAGAAGAATCTATCTTACATATTTATAAGTCTACCATTCAAACTTGCTTTGAATACTTCTGCCATATCTTATCTGGTGATCCTGCTATATATTTAGAGATTCTTGATAAAATCCAAAGAAGAATCTATCTTACATATTTCTAAGTCTACCATTCAAACTTGCTTTGAATACTTCTGCCATATCTTATCTGGTGATCCTGCTATATATTTAGAGATTCTTGATAAAATCCAAAGAAGAATTTGCAGGTTTGATGTAGCCTCTTTGCTTCAGTTACTTTCCCATTGACGTAACGTAGCTTCCCTGTGTCTTTTCTACAAATACTTTCATGCTAATTGTTCTGATGAACTTACTTCTATAATACATAGAGTTTATGAATTTAAGTGCAGTATTAGATTGGTAACAAAGTCTCATCATTTTACAGTTGAAATTGCTAGATGTAACTGTAAGTTCTATGCTAACAGTTTCTTCTATCTCATTTCTTGCATCCTGGGTATGACGATAAACTACATCTGTGTCCTGGGTAAGCCGATAAACTACGTCCAACAACAAGGCCTCTGATCAGGAGGTTTCAAGGAGCGTGGGGCCACCTCTTAATTGTTGGTGTTCCCAGGTCCACCCTGACCCTGGGTGGTAGTACCTGTTAGGGTACCAGCTATGGGCAAATAGTTAACTCCCAAACTGAGGTCAAAAAACTATAAAAGTGTAAAAATACACTTTAATGCCAGAAATATATTTTTGGAGGCACAGTGGAGTAATGGATAGTGGCTCGGTTTGAAGAATCGGAGAGCCGAGTTCGAATTCCAATCAAATCCATTACATTTACTTGCGTGCTAATATCTTTGGGAAAAGTATGAATCCTCTTCTCCTCCCTACAGCTATGGGTAAATAGCGGGACAGACTGGGCTCTATATCCTTGGATGGCAACTGGTCTACTGCAGAAAGAAATGGCAACCTACTGCAGGAAAAAAATCTGCCTCATCAGTCATGTATTGAAAGATATATGATCGCCTAAGCATGTATCACGCATGGCACATAACTGACTGAATACATTTTTGTAAAAATTATTACCAGCAATACATTTTTGAAGCTAAAGAATATATTGCCAGCAATACATTTTTGGAAAAATTATTACCAGCAATAAAAATCTTGTCAACATTAAATAACTCATTGTGGTTGATATGCTGTAAAACAAACAAACAAACAATCACACTTCTTACTTGTGGACCTCTCTTCCATCTTACTGTTTCCCACTCAACTTTGATCTTCAAAAGTTTAAATGCAATGTCAATCATTATCTTTTTGCCTTAGTTCCTGTTCTTTTATTATTCTCTCTCCTTACAGTATTTTTTTCTTCTCATATTCTCTAACACTCAGTAGCCTTTTGTGCTTTAGTAGCTGTATTGCTTTACTTGGCGAGAAATGATTTAAAAAAAAATGCAAATTCTGTAAACTATTTGTACATGTCTACAAATAACAAAATTGTTGATCTTTTGAAATTGATTCTGAACGATCATATACAACCTTGACACAATCCATACCCCCCCTCCTTTTTGACTTTTCCTCAGGCCATTTTGTAAAAGTTGATCATTTTTATTTTCAGAATGCTGCAGAGTTCACCAGAAGATCTTGACAAGAAGCAAGTTGGTGGTCCAGAATTTTCTGAAGTCTTTGTCATATTTTGGGCAGGATCTGTTATAGTGACTTTAAATTCCAAATTACTCGGTGGGAATATGTAAGTAAACAAACCTCAAATCTAATTTTTACTCCATTTTGTTTTTTATATATTTCATTTTTAGTGAAAACATTTTTGGTCAGTCCACCCTGAAGCAAAGAGCATGAAAATTTGAAAATATAAAGAAGTAGGCCCTGTGAAGACTTCAATTCACATTCAAACATTTCATGTGCACAACATGTCACAAATAATTAGAATAATATTAATATGAACAGTTAATGATCCTAACAAATACCTTTGGTTTATAAAACAAAAAACAACCATAAGTTAAAATTCATGTCTTAAAAGGAAATGTCCTCACAGATATAAAATAGGTGTTACAAGAAACATATTTACTCACGCAAAAATGATTTCCTCTTTGGATACATAGTTTCAGACAGTTAAACAACATAAAACAAAGACTTATCACCAATAATTTCCGTGTCTTTGATGAAGAAATAAGATTAGCTTGAAAGAAATTTGAAAAAATAATTACATTTAAACTTTCACAGGATACCATGAAAATATTCAAATATAGAAGAAAAAAAGAAAAAAAAAAAGCCCCCTGCAAGGAATTTTCATTGAGTTGTATTCAGATTTGGAGAAATTAAAAAATGCTGCTCAAATACAAATACATATATATATATATATATATATATATATATATATATATATATATATATTTATTTATTTAAAAATTATAACATAAATATGTTATAAAATCACTACAAAAATATCCATTTTGATAAGACACCAAAGGTGTTGAAACAAAATGGATATGTTTTAGTGATTTTATAAAATATTTGTTATAATTTTTAAATAAATAATTATATTTGCTCTACTCTGTATTGAGCACTCTTTTAAGAATAGTAATTGTTGGTGATTGGAATTTATTCCGTATACACCAATCATACACTTTGTGTGTGTGTGTGTGTGTGTGTATATATATATATATATATATATATATATATATATATATATATATATATAATTTGTTAAAATGTTATTTTTAATGGTTACCCATATTTGAGTAGATGCTCTGTTTTTATCTATTTACTAAACAGTGCTTATTTATATCCATCTCCCAACCTGTTCAAAGCCAGTAGATGGAAATAAATGTAAACACATCATCTACTCAAATATATCCATTAAGAACAATGTTTAAACAAATAAATGTCAAATTTAATAAATGAAAAATACATTTCTAAAAATTATATATATAAATATATATTGTGTATTTAGGCAGCAATCCTTCATTTATACATGTTTCATTAAAAACAACAGACAAGTTACTGCGATTAAGCTTTTCATTTAATTTTTCTTGTGTTCGAACAAGTGTTTTCTTTTCTGGACACAGAATATGTAGAGACTGTTCAAATATTCTGTAATTCCAAGCATTTTTAGCTATACTTTTAGCCATTATCAAGGAGGATTTTATTTTTGCTTTTTAATTGGGTGTATGGGTTGTGTGTATGTTTCATATACAGGGTAACGGTATGTAAATGTCACCATTCTTGGGTAATTTTCTGTTATCACAATGTGGGATGTTTAATAACAAGGATGATAGAAGCAAAAAGAATCAAGATGAATTTGGCTAGATTGCAAAAAAAAAAAAAAAAATTCTTTCTAAATTTTGAAACTCCCAGTGTCTCGCGTTCATGAGCATGTGTAGTCACAACAATGTAAAAATGTCTGAAGTCTTTATGGATGAAACATGTCACAAAAGCTTTTTCCAATTCATAATACATCTTTACTTTGTGTGTGTGTGTGTGTTTATATATATATATATATATATATATATAAGTTATGAAAAACTTGGTAATCCATATGGGTAATCCCAAGGAGGATGAAATCCTGAGAGCTCAATGTAAATCCAGAGCTAATATTTTAAAGAAAAACAGACCACTTTAAGGTACCATTATAATAATTTATTTCACCAGAGCCCTTTTAAAGGGTGCCGGATCATCAGATAGCACTTCTAATAATGAAACAAAAAATGAAATCAAAATTGATGGGTAGTGTAAGTTTTTGTAAAAGGGGTAAGAGATTTGAAATTAAACCCTCCCTAAACTCTACCAGGTCTCTTTAACTACTCCTTTTACACTTTCTGTTACAAAAACTTACAGTACCCATCAATTTTAATTTCATTTTTCGTTTCATTTTTGGAAGTGCTATCTGATGATCCAGTGTCCTTTTAAAAGGGTTCTGGTGAAATAACTTATTATAATGGTACCTTTAAAGTGGTCTTTATTTTTATATATATTATATATATATATATATATATATATATATATATATATATATTACCCATGGTCTGTTGGGTCACTGACGGTTCAGGTTATATAACATTGAAATTGATTTCAACATTCCATTGGAATGAAAGTTAATTTTATTATGATTCAGTTAAATATTTCAGTTTGTTTCGTGTCGTCATTAGTCTGGTTTCAAGTTCATGTTTAACATTTTACTGATTGTTTACAGCATTTGATAGGAATAGAACTTCCGAGATAAACTTTGACTTTAAATCACATTAACTTTAGAATATTTTTTTAATATGCCAAAGAATATTTTAAATTGTATTCACTTGAAAATATCTTTTAAATATTTAAGATATCTTTTGTTTAAAGAAAGCTGAAATATAAATAATTTCTCTACAAACAACTGGACGAAACAGCAAATCAGGATCTCTTTGTGTCTGTCTTTAAGTTAAAAATATTTTAATCAAAAAAAATTATCTGTTTGCAGGAAGTTAAAATAAAAATACTTACTGTATAAACAATTTATAAATCATTATGTGTTGGATAGATGCACCCCACAAGCATGCAATCACAGACTTTCAGTATTATTTGTGTGTGTGTGTCTGTATATATACAACTTGGGGTGAAATGATTAAAAAACACATACACGCACACACTTGACAATGGTGTATATGTATTTATGCATGTTTGCTTAAAAGCCAATGAAAGTTCCGTGTTACTCATTTTTTATTTACTTTTTCAATATTTTTGAGAATTTCTTTTGGTTTCTGGTTGATATTGGTAAATGAAACTTTTCCCATCTGATTCCTTTCAGCTAACACTACAAGCCATTTTCAAAGGCTTTCTCACTTTGTTATAGTGTCAGTTTAATTTTTTTAAATATCTCATTTCATGTGGCAGCTTTGTGTTTCATGTAGTCACATGGCAGTTCTGCTTTTTTTTTTTTTTTTTAATGAAATATATTTCAAGGACACATGGCACAGTAGATAAAGGTGTTGATTAGATCCAGTGACAGGACCCAAAGAGTGTGAGTTCAATACCCGGTTAAGGCAGTGGAGAACTTTCAGATAACTGATAACTGACATCCATCAAAACCATGGCACGTGAAACTAGAACAGTCTACCCCAGTGAGCGAAATAAAGGGTTCGGTTCAAAATTCCAACCACCTGAAGAAGGCCGGAGCATACAACGGCCGAAACGTTGTGATAGATATGGCGACAAAGATGAGGACAATAGTCCAAATAATGTAAATAATGTACATAATACCTCATCTCAGAAATATAGACAGACCCCGAAATATATTTAATGTTTGGTTGAAGGTTTGATGTCATTTTATTAGTCTTTGTTTGCTTTTTATGCTCAATGCCTCCCATATTGTATATTCATTCATTTAGCATATTTTGCGCTGCTATGGTCAGCATTCTCCTTCATCTCACAATTGTGGCCCATGCTGACACTGAAAGCAGAATAGTGCTTTGTGTTGTAGAGTAGTTTTCACAGTGGAGGCTTGTATTTCACTAAGTCTGTCCTAAAAGAGTCCGACGTACAAAACGTTAGGAACTTGCAATAAGAGTTAATGACGCAGCAATCTAGTTGTGATGGTTCAATGTCCGACATCGACTGACTCACTCAACGCCACTGAGCCCAACTGTCGACCACTACTACTACTATTACTACTTATTATGTGTGGGAGAGTCTATTAATAATAGAATAGGTACATCAGGTATAACACTTTGCCAGTTCCTTTTGCACTGGGGATGTTGAGTGTACCCTGTCCCTCATCTCAGGCAGTGGATTTGTTTTTGAAGTCACATTCTTCTATACTTTGCTTAAAGAGGCAGGATCTACAAGGCAGCAGATGCTATGACTTTAGAGATTTCTTCTCCGAAACTGGTTGCCACTTAAGGCTATAGGACCCAGTCTATCCTGTTATTTTTACCTATAGCTGGGGTGAGAAGATATGGATTCATACCTTTTCTAAGAGTATTAGCATTGTGAATATAATGAAGTGGACTGGAATTCAAACTTAGCTCTCCAGTTCCTCAATCCAAAATGCTAACAATTACTCTACTGCGCCTTCACCATATATATTCATTTATATTAAATGACTATCATATAGGAATCAGCATGTCATAGAATCTCATGTATTGTTGACTATTTTTCATGTATTTTGTTCTCTTTGCAGTTCCTTCTTCCAAAGTGTGTGTGTCCTTGGCTACTGTGTTTCTCCATTGGCTCTTAGTCTTCTCATCTGCCGTCTTATCCTCACCTTTTCAAATCCAAACACTGTGCTCTTTGTGATCCGTTTCCTTGTTGTCTGCCTTGCATTTGGTTGGTCAACATTTGGTAAGTATTCCTTTATTTATAAATTGAGTATTTCCTGATGTCTGAGGCGACCCAAGCAGTGAATGTCGACAACTGGCACATGTCTGTAGACGAGAAGCTATATATTTACTTTGGTAGTAGCAGATAACAGAGAATCTGATACAGAAATCCGAAGGCACACAGGAATAGCAAAAGATGTCTTTCAGAAACTAAGCAAAGTATTAAGAGATGCAAAAAATTTCATTAGCAGCAAAGAAAATAGAGCTGATTTGCTTATGTTGCACTTGTCTTTCTATATGGCAGTGAATGCTGGACAATTTCCTTACAGATGCAGAATGGTCTTGAAGTGACAGATGTGCTTCAACAAACAGATGCTGAGAATACCATGGACTGAACATGTGTTCAATGAAGAAGTTTTTAAGGAAATGGTAACTAAAAGGATAGTTACATTTGAAATTTCTCTGACACACAATAAAGAGGCCTTGGAGATTTTAACACCCACAGGGCATATTGAAGGCTGGAGCTGCAGAGGAAAACAGCGAGTCACCTGCCAAAACAAGAAAGGTGAAGAGTCAAATGTTGTTTAGTGTTACAAGGGCTGGAAGTTGTGGAGGGCCGTGATTGATGTCATTTAGAAAAGTGAGGAGTGCAAAAGAAGAAACTGTAAGCATAGAACTCTTGATTGTATCTTGCTAAGTCGACTGTAAATCAACGAGACCTTGATGTTGAGGTACTGCACTTAAATTCATAAAGTCTAGGTACCATAGCAAAGAGCTCATCTGAACAATTACCATGAAAGTATTTATAGAAAAGGCATAGGGAAGCTGCATTATGAAGGTGACAAAGTGACTGAAGCCGAGATGCCAGGTCAAGACCAATAACATTACAAATGCTTCTTTGGATTTTATCAAGAATCTCTAAATATATAGCAGGAACACTAAACTATATGTGGCAGCAATATTCAAAGCATGGATGGTAGACTTATAATTATGTAAGATAGATTTTGGAGAGAAAAATTGATATTATACAGGGTGGGGCAGGGCAACTTGCTTATTTGGAATATCAATTAAAACACAAGTAATGCAGGTATACATGTAATTCTTTGAACTGCAACTAGTTCAACATTTAAATTTTATTTTTTACCAGTTTTAAAGATGATATCAGTAAGATGGCGTCCATTCTTCTCTATACACTGAGTCAATGTTTTGGGGTGACCTTGCTGTTCGTGGGAGGCCAGGTTTCTTTTTCTTTACATCACCTGTTTCCCTGAAGTTGTTTACCCATGAAACAATCGACCTACCGGCCAGGAACACGACCATGGGGGGGGCAATATTGAAATGTCTCACGGAATATGCGTTCGCGTTGCTATGCGACGATTGAGCGACCGCTTGAAAAAAAATGCCTCAACAGCTAAAGCCCGTTCCAACTTCGTCCACTCCATGATGCTCACCGGGTTTCTGAAAATAAACAAAAAATAAATAACGCACGTTAAGAACCAAACTTTAAGCCCCACCCTCTCAAATAAGTCCATCCCTACCATCCTTGGAGCAACCATCGCTTTAGGGCACCAAATTTAAATAAGCAAGTTGCTCTGCCCCACCCTGTATATGTAAATATTATCTTAAAAAGATATAATAACCTTACAAAGCTTCTGTGGTTTGACGCCTTTGGGCTGGTTTGTTTTTTTTCTCTTATCTTTCTCTACTCTGTATTTAAATATTCCACTCGCATTTCATTTTAGACATCTTGTTGGAAGCTACTACTTTATTATGAATGCTGGCTGCCTTTACTTTAACCATTGTCATCAAACACAAAAACTACCATTTTAGCATTTTGATGCTTATGACTATATTCTGTTGTAACCCCACTTCTTGTCCAATTGCCAAAATTAAGAAATGTTAAACCTGGTCAGTACCTAGATAGGTGACCCCTTTGGAAATACCCAATACTGTAATCTTGAATGTGATGCATAACAGCTCTGAATAAGAAATCGGAGTGCCGAGTTCAAATTCCAATTGAGTGCATTATATTCATTTATGTGCAAATACTCGTGGGAAAGGTATGAATCCATCTCTTCTCCTTGAACTATGGATTAAACGGCAGTACAGACTTAGTTGGCAACAAGTCTATCACAGAAAGTAATGGCTGCCAACTGTAGGGATTCTTTTACAAGCTAATCATGAATTGTAAAGAGACCTGATTTGTCAAAGTGCACATTATGCATGACACTTAAAGAAAGAACTGTTTTAATAAAAGAAAAAGATTAAAAAAAAAAAAAAAAAAAACAAACAAAAATAACAATATAGATCAAAGATAAGCCAGTCAGAAATTAATAATGAAATTTATTTCTATTCTTATTTTTTAATGAAATTACATTTTAAATTCCTTTTCAAAAATTCCACTCGTCTTCCCAAAGCATATTAATTTGAACTATTTCTCCTCTAAGGTCAGGGAAAGATGGATTGATTATGGTATTTGTTCAGAATATTTCCAGCAATTGTGCAGCTGTTGTTGTAACTTGGCAACCAGTTAGAAACAACTCTATTGCATATGCATAAGACACACTTTTGTGGGGGTTACTCAGCAGCAAGATGCTATCGAGTGAAATAGTGTTCTGTGTGACTGTTGCATTCACAATAACCTGCAAATCAACTCTACATGTCCCACATAATTTTTTTTTTTTTTTTTTTTTGCATCATAAAAGGCCTGGTATAGCACACATCCAGTCTAATTTTTTCTCTCATTGATTTTTGGCTTGTCCAAAGACTAAAACTGAAATGTAGACTTTGCAGTCTATTTTGAAAAGTAGAAGACCTGCTAGAATAAGGGTCCCAAAGCGGGTATTGTGAATTGGGATTCATATGCCATAGGCTGCATTTTAATTACAGAAAAACCTCTTATTAATGGACTAATAGGAGGGATGGGTGGTCCGTTAAAGCCGATTGTCCATAAATGGGAAGGGATTATTTTTGAGTTACAAAACCACTATAGTAACTACCATTAGTTATCATCATAATGTGAATACTATAAACAGGTATATATGTCATAAATCACTATATATACTTAATGTAGTGTGGTGGAGACATACCTCACTAAAGCAAAAGAAGGCAAATTGTCTGTACGTGTGCTTGTAGGCATCATGGACGTGTGAGATGAACTCTGGCAAATCAATATTGAAGTGACACAGTGCATGCGTTATTGTCAAGAACGAGGCTAACACAAGCGAGAGATCTCAGTTTGTTCTTTGAGACTGGTGAAGGTTATACCCATGTTCCAGAGAAAGTGCGATAGTACTGTTGTTTACGGGGTCCAGGAAACAGTCTCGAGTGAAGCATTGTTCCAGTTTCCATGTTAGCTGTCAGCAGGAACAGATTCGAGTAGAAATTTATTTTTCCTACCACCCAATTTTCATTTAAATCACACATATAGATATATTAATCAAAATGACGAAAATAACAGATTTCTCACAGCTACTTTCTCGCACACGCTCTAATGTGTCATACTTTATATGCTGTACACCCATCTTTGTTTACAATTGAAAGGCCCACCACTGCCACCTAGTGAGCACTTTGAGAACCAATATGAATCATTCTGCTAAACCCACAAATTTTGAAATGCACTTCTGATGATTTGGAAGTTTTTTTTTTTTTTGCCTGCAAATTTTGTCTGTTTCCTCCAACGTCTGTTGATGTGACCGGGGGGGGTGGCGTCCGTAGATGAGAGGTTTCTCTGTACTATGAAATGGTTGTCTCATTTTCAGACTGACCTTATATGTTTCCTCTTCATATGTCTTTAAATATAATATTCACTAATACAAGCTTTTTACTTTGAAATTGTCAGTGTCAATATATATTCTTTTCTTTTATTCCAGCTTCAACAGCATTCCTGGCCAATAGTCAGCCATACAACAAGAAATACTTAGCCATGTACCCCATCTTTCTTTTCTATTTTGTTATTAGCTGGCTAATCATTTCTCACACACACTGACCGTCCATCCCTTTTGGGCTAATCAATTAAAATCATCAACTTGAAAAATTTTTCTTTCTGCCAATAAGGTGGAGTTCTTTTTCAAATATGGTTTCTTTAAGAAATTCCTTGATCAACTCACCTTGCCCTCTCTCGCTCTCTGAAATGTTGGTGATGGATTTAAATGTCGAAATTGGGGCTCTTATATAAAGAGAAAAATATTTCTGTAAAATTCTTCTTTTTGAGTGGGCAATTAATGACACTATTGGAGATGTTTTAATTATTTATTTATTTATTTCTCTAATTGTTTACTGACCAGATGTCTTCAGATCTACAATTGGATTGTTTTCCAATTAAGATTTCTTTCTATTTTGCTGTCTAAATTGAAAACTCTTTAGTGAGCAAAACAAGACAAGGATACAAAAAATGAAAATAACTTTAGATGGTGAAGAATATTATAGTAATCAGTTCTTGTTGAAGGATATTAGGTTGAGTCATAAATAATTTCCGTCTTTGCTTATCAACTTTATAATTTAAAAACATAATCTACAATTACATTTTTTCCTTACGGCCACATCATGTTGAAACACCAGTTCCTTATGATCACCAAAGTTAAGCAATGTCGAGTCTGGCCAGTACCTAGATGGGTGACTGCCTGGGAATACCTGATGCTGTAAAAATTGATTTGCATGTTAATGGATAACGGTTCGGAATTGTTAATCAGAGATCTGAGTTCCAATTCCAGTTGGGTTTGTTATATTCCTTTACACACAAATATTCTTTGAAAGGTATGAATCCACCTCTTCTCCCTTCAGCTATGGGTTAATTATTAAGACTTGTATTACTAAAACAATTATTATCTCCACAAAAATAAAATAAAATTGTGTACAAAATATTTAGATTTCAGCATTGAATAACCCATAGAGGTGTTGATATGCCACTAAACAAAAACAACCAATCAACAATTACACTTTATTCAATCCTATAATCACTGTTACTTGAAAGTTGTTGGATTCTCGTTCAAATTTGAACCAAATTGTCGATATGAAAACCAAATAGGACATAAAAATGCCTTCCAACTTCCAAAAATACATTGGTGGAAAACCCCAGAATTTAAAGAAAAGAATCTCTGAACATAAAAGTGAACTGAAATTGTATGAATAAAAACTGATTTTAAATTAGTATAATAAAATTTAAAAGAAAAAAAAAAAAGTAAAAAAGAAAAATTAAGCTTTCATTTGATAAACGTAAACTACATTCTCTCTCACTAATGTAGACTTTGTTGAAATAAAATAAAATCAGTTTTCCTGATGACACTGTTTTATCGGCAAATCCTGTCAAAACGGGTTTTCTAAATTGTCATATATATTAAAATGAGTCATAAATAATTTCCGTTTTTGGTCATCAAATTTATTCTTCAAAAAATAAAAATACAATTATAGTTTATTCAATAATATATTCACCATTATCTGCAATGATTTTTTTTTGTCAATTATCAAGTAGTTCTTAAATAAGGTTTTGATGTTGAAAACTTTTCAACAAACTCTTTCACTAGAGAAAGTTTTTGCAGGGATTGAAAAAGTTAATTTGGTTGGTACAAGGTCAGGTGAATAATTTGGTTAGTGTAAGGTCAGGTGAATGTGGGAGATGAGGTATGATAGACCAATGGAGTTCCAAAATTTTTTCCTGTTTTTTTTTCTTGATATCTGCAGTATTATGTTGTCATGGAAGGGAACAACATTTTTCCTTGAATTTCTGTCATGAGAAGTTATCATTATCGACACTATGTACATCTGGACTATTGTCCTCATCTACAGGACAATAGCCTGGTGGAGTAAAGCGTTGGTTTATGAATTTGATGACAGTGATTGAGTTCAATCCCTGGACAGGGAAATGTGTACTTGGACTCTGTGAAAACAATAACTAGATGAGATATCTGTAGACATGTGCCATGGAATGAGAACTGTCTATTTCCATAGATTAAAAAAAAGGGTTCAGTTCAAAATTCCCTGTAGATTACCCAGATCGATATACACCTGAGGAAGGCTGAATTGCACCACAGCCAAAATGTTGCGATAACAACAATGATGACAATAGTCCGTATGTAAATAAAATTGTTTTTTAATCCACTGTCTGTACTGCCGCTGCAAAGCTATGTTAGTATATTGCAAATTTATTAACTACCCTGCATGACGAGTAGTTAGGATGGTACCTTTATCATTACAATTGGTTCCTCAAAAGAGAAATTACTTAGGACTCAACCTAACATTTTAGCCTTGGTAGTAGAGAGATGGCTGATACACTGAGATTGAAAGGAACATTGTTTTAGTGGTGTCTTTAAAGTCAGTGTTTGTTGAAACAGAAGGCAGTTTTACTGCTTGTAATTTTGAGAAGCGTCATTACATTCCAAATGTCAGGACTGCTGAGTTTAAAGATATGGAGTTGCCCTGTTGTGTTATATAAATTGCTGAAAATGGATTGACCTGTAATGTAATTACTTGGAATCGGCTGATCTAGTCAGAAAGTTTTCCTTTAACTTTGCCACCTTTTTCTGGAAATGTTTTTTTTTTTCTCTCTCTCTTTTTATGGATTGTACACCTGAAGACTTTCACAGAATGAATCAGTTTAAAAGTTGTAACAGCAGAAGAAACAAAAAAAAAAAATATATATATATATATATATATATATATATATGAGCTCACTTGTCCAACCAACTTATAAAAGTATGCTCTTTATTATAGAAAAGAAATCGGTGGCTATAGCGTTTGCTATAGAATTGCTTTAGAAATGGTTTTCCAATGGACTTTGTCCAGAATTGGCTAAATTAAAAGTCTGTTCAGTTTTATCTATACTTTGTGTTATTTACATCAAAAAAATTTATCAGCTTACATGTCTCTGTCTCTCTCTCTCTCTCTCTCTGAAGGTGTTTCTGATTACATGTGTTGCTCTTTGAAGGTGTTACCAATTATGTGTGTCTTTTTTCACTGTGTTACAGATTGTAGGTGTCTCTTTTTTTTTTAAAAAATGTTATTGTATATATTTCGCTCTTTGAAGGTGATACTAATTGTATGTCTCTCTCTCTCTCTTTGAAAGAGTTACTGATTCTGTGCATCTTTCTCTTTGAAAGTGTTACGTGTGTGTGTCTCCCTTTGAAAGTGTTACTTGTTACGTGTGTGTGTGTGTGTGTCTCCCTTTGAAAGTGTTACTTGTTACGTGTGTGTGTGTGTCTCCCTTTGAAAGTGTTACTTGTTACGTGTGTGTGTGTGTCTCCCTTTGAAAGTGTTACTTGTTACGTGTGTGTGTGTGTCTCCCTTTGAAAGTGTTACTTGTTACGTGTGTGTGTGTGTCTCCCTTTGAAAGTGTTACTTGTTACGTGTGTGTGTGTCTCCCTTTGAAAGTGTTACATGTGTGTGCGTATCTCCCTTTGAAAGTTACTTGTTACATGTGTGCGTTTCTCCCTTTGAAGGTGTTACGTGTGTGTGTGTCTCTCTTTGAAGGTGTTACTGATTCTATCTGTGTCTCTCTCTCTCTCTGATGTTGTTACTTACCAAAGAATCCAACCTAACTAATGTCCAGAATATTTATTTGAATATGGTATAAACAGCTGACATGTTACGTATAAGCCTTTCTATTAGATTATTTCTCTCTCTCATCTTCCCAAATATCCGCTTACATTTGCTATGCCCAGCAACAATTTCAATACTCTCTTATTTTGAAGTATTTCTTTTGTAATTTTCTATTTTGCAAATCAACTAGCAAAATATGGATTGAAAACCATTCACTGAGGTAAAAAGTTAATGTAGATAATGTTATAGAAATTCATTCTGCAATGATTTTATAGAAATCTATTATAATACTTTGTTGCCATGAATAACGTTATGGTATACAAGATTGATTAACTTTTCACTTCTTGCTAAATAATTCAAAACTGTCATATATTATGAGTTGGTTGTTACCAGATATAGTCATGAAAAGTGTGTTTACAGTTTTTGTTTGCTTAGTCATGTATTTTTATATTTTTCATGCTTTATGTACCTAAGAAGGTCATAACTTTGTGTGAAATTTGGTAAAATAACTTTGAAAATATCTGACTTGGGATTTTTCTATTGTACAAAGATTTTTTTTTTTTTTTTTTTTTTTTTGTTATTGATGTACTTTTATTATTGTTTGAAATAATGTTGCTCAAAGGTTTTCAGAACAAACTCAGGCAAAATGTGGCTATTGTTTTTTTTTGAAGGAATCAGCCACTCATAAAAGCGTTATTTTATTTTTATTTTTTTTTATTTTGTCAGTCTTAAATTTTGTTTCCTTTAAAGAAAAACTTAACACTTAATATTCCAACATATTCTAAATAATCTTCAGTAATTTATAAAAAAAAAAAAAAAAATTCTGCAGACTAAAATGCATTCTCTATTACACCCCTACCAACTTTTATCAACATAACCATTTTTTTTTCTTTTGGCTTTAACTATTAAAGCTCTCAACTAATGCCATTAAAGCATTATCTTACTTCCAGAAATGGTGCTTTTCATATTACTACTGATAATACAATGATTATAATATGAAAACAAAAGCATGTATGAATTTCTGAGGTTGATCGATTGATTTCAACTGAAATATTTTATATACTCCAGGCATTGCTTAATTTGAATTTTTACAAGAATAGACAAAGAAACCAAAATTTAAAAAGCCAGATCGATATACAATAAATGTGATTTTTATCTTTGAAATTTTGTTTTTTGAGTTTATGGTTCTCGTATTTCTAGTCTTAGTGTTGAAGAAAAAAAAAATGCTACTTCTTCACTGCCCCCCACCTCCCCCCAAAAATTTCATGGAAAATTAATCTGTCAGAAATTAACCCAAGTTTTACAGGGTCTGTCCTGAAAACATCCAGCCATTTAATAATATTAATGAAAAAGTAAACTTCCAAGGGTTAATCCCCTTCAAAGCACTTGTTTTTGGAACCTGGGCCACTTTTCCCAGTGTTCCTTCGACTTTTCAAAACACCCTTTGCAGATAGCTGTCTCATTGTGTTCTCCTTAATTTCAGTCTGATGTCTTGCTTTTAACAGTAATTTTTATCCTCAAGAAGAGCCAAGGCTTGTAGGGAATCAAAGCTATATTGTCCAATGTGCTGACAGACTTAGGCTGTGAGTGGTTTTGTTAAAAAAAATAAAATGAGGCAAGGAATGATAAACGTATCCAGATGAACATGACAATGATGCAGCAGACAAGCTCACTAAAGATAATCTTACTGCCTACCGAGTAATCATATGAGAAAATGCTTCTTCTGAAATGGTAAGATTCTACTTGATTAACAATTTGCACCAAGACTGAATATTTGGTTTTCAAAACATTCAAAATGGCTGTACATTTTCCTGACAGGCTTTTGTACAAATTCTTTAAATGAAGATTGCATACTAGAACTGGCTCAGTCCACTCCTTTTTTTTATATATTGGCTCCCATTGCAAAAAAAAAAAAAAAAAAATGCTATCTTTCTCGGAGAGTCTAAATGATAATTTTCTTAAATTTTCTCATTGAAATCATTAAATTGCTGATGATGTGTAACCACTTTTACGCAGGAATGGAATGTTCTTGCAATGTTGCTGATGTATCTATGTTGAAGAATATGTGATGTGGTGATGTTAGTGTGAGGTTGTCATCAATTATTTTTCTGATTCCTCCACTACACCGACTGGTGTTGCAAAGTGCTAGACCTAAAAAAATTCTACACTGTTCAATTCTAATATTAAAATACTTTTTCTTCACTTAACAATAGGTATAGAAACTATAAAATCGGTTTAAAAGAATATCATAATAAATGCACATTCTAATATCTTCCTGGAGGCTTACATCCACATCACTTTGAAACACCGGTTTTCATATGATCACACAAAGTTAAGCAACATTGAGCCTGGTTAGTATCAAGATGGGTGATCACCTGGGAATGCCAGGTGGTTTAATGGATAATGACTCCGAATTGTTAATTGGAGAGACATGTTCCAATTCTGGTTGGGTTTGTTTTATTCACATATGAGCAAATACCCTTGGAATTCACCTCTTCTTTCTCCAGCTATGGATAAGACTTGTATCACGAAATAATTATGTCCAAAAATTAAAAAGGTATTACAATCTAAAAATATTTTCTGGCTTTAAATAAGTTGCAAAGGGTTGATAAACCATAGAAAAAGAAACAATAAAAACAATGCTCCTGGAATTTATTATCCATTTTCTATATTTGCAACATTACAAGGTAACCTTGTAGACACGTTGTAGGGAGTCTATCAAAAAACGTTTCTGCAACCTTGATGTAACATTGCAGAAATGTTGTAGTTTTGTTATACATGAGCTGAGTGGACTCAGATTGTCTAAAATGGTGTTTTTTGTTTGCTTTTTGGGGTTTTTTTTCTTCTTTTGCACATGGCCTTTAATATAAACAAATGTCTCATTTTTATGTTGCAGCTTTTAATTCTCTTTTTTTTTTTTCTTAAAACTCCTTTACTTTAACAGAGTTAATAAGCAATGTACAAAGAAAAAAAATTATATCTTTGATAATTAAAGTTATTTTATTATTACTGATGTCTGTTGTGTTTAATTGGAATAGATTTCCCAAGCTTTGCTGGCATTAAAATCCTTTCCGTTGTAACAGATTGATGATTTTTTTTTTTTTTTTTTTTTAGTAATTTCAAAAGCCGAGAAGAATGTTTTAAAAGAAATTAAATAAAACGGATCATGTTCAAATTACATGACGAACCTAGCATGGTGAAATTGACGAGAGATTGCAATGTTGCATAGACATCAGCCCCGTGTTAATGGATACATCGGCAAAGAATATGACGGCAATAATAATAATTAAACTTATGATGGCACACAAAAACCACGCTTGTCGCATGCTGCCATGTCGGTTGAAAATCACGGCTTGATTAGGTATATGGGCCAGTTGCTAAATGCACTAAGACAATAGCTATTACAAATTTTATCTTTCCACAAAATTCAAACATATGGCAACGGATGCGATTCTTTTAAACAAAAAAAAAAAATGGACTTTTCTAATCAAGGACCAATACCAACACAACGTATTAAAAACAAATACGAGATGTAAAGTTATAATTATTTTAATATATAAAAACATGGAATGAGAGAAGAAGCAAACAACAAATAAAGAATAAGAGAAACGAAAGAAACTGTAAGGATTATTATAAGAGAAATGTTTAACGGACATTTATCTTATGTTATCAATCAGTTCAGAGCTTAATCTACCAATTGGGCAATTTTGTTGTTACACGATTTGGACAATTTTGCTATTACATCCGGTATATATAAACAACCCTCCGTGGGATTTAGATTTGTCCTTCTCTTAGACCAGTGGCCATCTAAGGCTATAGAACCCAGTCTGTCCTGCTATTTTACCCATAGGTGGATGGAGAAGAGGAGGATTAATACCTTTCCCAAGGGTATTAACATGTAAGTGAATGTAATGGATTCGACTGGAATTCAAACTCGGCTCTCTGATTCCGCAATCCACTATGCACTACTCGACTGTGCCTATATACTGTTAGGAATTTTATCTTTTAACAAAATTCAAATATATGGCAACAAATGCAGTTCTTTTAAACAAAGAAAAAAAAAAAGGATTTTCTACTCAGTGACCAATATCAACGCAGACAACGTATCGAAAACAAATATGAGATGGAAAGCTATAATTATTTAAATATATAACATGGAATGAGAGAAGCAAACAACAAATAAAGAAAAAGAAAAGAAAAGGTAAGGATTATTATAAGAGAAATGTTTAACAGCCACTTATCTCTCGTATAATGTTATCGACAATTTTGTCAATTATTATTATTTTTTTTTTTTAAACACAGTTCATGGCAGACAGATCTTGAGATATTTCTCTTCATATGTAGAAGTGCTTTGGTCAATTAATGTGGTCTGTTGGGTTTATCAACCTGAAAGCGCTTTGCTTTTCATCCAACGAAGATATATAATCCTGGTTTTTGAATTCATGATAATCCCAGAAGTTTTTTTGCTTTATTTTACTTTCCGTCTCATCAGGAATATCAGACGACAATTTTACATGATAGCTAGCCCACGGAGAAAGGATAAACATTTTTTTATGAAGTCTGTTCGATACAACATCTGCAATCATTCTGATCTGTTGGTGTAGGGATGCGCCCTATCATTGAATGCGATATATATTTGAACTGAACAATCATCAAACGCTACATATGAAATTGATAATTTAACTGTTGACCCAATTTAAGAGATCAGGGCTGAATTTTAAGAAATAGAATACAGAATCTTACTTATTATAAAACGCAGATTGTGTGTGTGTGTGTGTCCGTACGTTTATATATTGGATTGGATTTTCTACATTTTTCAACCAATTTCAACAAAACTTCACAGGACTACGTAAAATTACCTTGCGGTGGTTCTGACAGCACCAAAAATTGGAAAAACACAATTGTTTTTGCACAAAATCAATTTGAAAACATGATTAAGAGGCATTAATGAAAGGAGGACAACTCATATCGAGTTATACTTATTAATATCGAGTTATCAAGTTATACTTATTATAAAACCCAGGTTGGTTGTGTCTGTGTGTGTGTTCATTTATATATTGGATCGGATTTCCTACATTTTTCAACCGATTTCAACAAAACTTCACTTTCTTTTTTGGCAGGTAGTGTTTCTTATTGTCTTGCACACTTTTTTCTTTATTTTTACATTCAGAATGCTTTAAAAATTACATTTACAAGACAATTGTTTATAATAAAATTCTATTCAATCGGTAGACTCATAACGATTGAAAACTGTTTTTGTTCGAGTTTGGGTTTGACCAATTCATAAAATAAAACTAATTAAGACATGTGTGTCCGTCAACCTTAAGCAATAATCTTTGTCAATTTTATTTTTCAGTCTTTATGATGGTCGATACTTGATCTATCTCTTACTGTTACATCCCCGGGCAATGCCGGGCTCTACTGCTAGTAAAAGATAAATTATGAAATGGGATTTATATTAACTATGAATACTTCAAATATATGCACACACACACGCTCCAGAAAGAAATATTTATGCATGTCCAGTTGTATGTTGCATGCTTAAGAGTAAGAAATCCTAAGAATTTGTTCTTTGCTGTTAAAAGGGAAAAAGGAAGAAAAGAAATATTCTTTATCATAAAGGCCTATGAAATTAAAGGAATTATTAAACAGTTTCCAAACAAATCATCTTATTAAAATTTTATTGATTGGTTTATGAAATTGAATGAAACGTAGATTTTTTTAATTTCCGACAAAAAATGTCAGTAGTAACTTCAACAATACTAAATACTATTGGGATTTATATATGTGTTGGCATGTTTAAAAAATTATCGTCATTGAAAGATATATATATATATATATATATATATATATATATATATAATTATTTATTTGAAAATTATAACATAAATATGTTATAAAATCACTACAAAAATAGCTATTTTGTTTCAACACTTCTATGTCTTATCAAGTGATGGTGTTGAATATAGAATAAAGGCTTTTAAAAGGTTCAAATCAATCAAACACCCCTTGCAAGGGGAAACGCTGTTACATAAGCTGGAATGACCAGTCAAAATATAAATATATGAGAATTCCCAAAACTTGACAACGAACCTTGGTTATAATAATTAATGCTTTAATGTTAGGGTTAGACTAAGGGTGTTTGATTGATTTTATAAAATATTTATGTTATAATTTTCAAATAAATAATTATATTTGCTCTACTCTGTATTGAGCACTCTTTTAAGAATAGTATTTTTTGGTTATTGGAATTTATTCCGTATACGCTAATCTTTATATATATATATATATATATATATATATATATGACATTATAAAACTGATATTTAAAAGTAATCTTTTCATACATTATATAGTTAATGATATTGTTTGGTAATTCGTATGGATAGTTCCAAGAAGTGTGTGTGTGTATATATATATATGTATGTATATATATATATATATATATATATATATATATATACACATATATGAAGAAAAATTTTGGAAAAAACAAACAAAAATCCTTAAATGCAATTATGTGACGACAACGTGACCATGCTAAACGGAAAGCTGATCATTTTAAAAATTTTCAGTTATCTGTTTTGGATAAGACTTGTTTTTATGTCCATCGTCTTTGTCAAATTGAACTGAATTGTATTTTAATGAATATTGTCCTGAAGAAGGTTTATTAAACCGAAACGTCAGACGTCGACATTTCATTCATTCAAACAACATAATTGCATTTAAGGATTTTTGTTTGTTTTTTCCAAAATTTTTCTTCATTCTCTCGGATCTATATCCATTTACATTTACTTACACATACATACATACATATATATATATATATATATATATATATATACACACACATATATATATATATATATATATATATGTATATCTATACATATATATATATACACACACCTATATATATATAATTGTACTGATTTCCGTAAGTACAGTTTAGGTTATCGACTAACTGCAGTAACAAATAATTATTTGACGATAATAAAACTAAATATACTAAAGCACAAGAAAAAAAAACAATGACCAAATGAAATAAGAGTATGTAGAAAGAAACAACACTAAAGATAAAAGTAAACTAAAACAAATACTTTAGCTATTCTGCAATACTATAAAAGGTTTTCAACAAAAATAATATTAAGGTAAGCTATATTTGTACTAAAAACATTGATGACTATCGCAACATAATAATAAATTAAGCAAGCACACAAACAAAATACTAAATAATAATTCTACTAAAAATCAATGCAAATACCGTAAAAACGTAACCTGTCCACTAAATGACCAGTGCATGACCGAATAGCTACAGAGCTATGATCAATTCAGACGACGATGTTAAATACTACAAATTGCGTTGTTACTTTCTCTAAATGATGCTATCAA